CTGATTCTTATTTTTATTAATATTTGCTTTTATTCTCATCAATTTCTTCTATTTAAAAGATTACTTATTGTTTCTAAGTTTTGAGTTTACTAATTTTCAGTCCCCTTGATTTCCTGCATTGTCTAAGTCTCTGTACATTTCCATGAGGTTCCTGTGGTTGCTCAGTTATAAATAATTTATAAAGTTAGATTTATCTAACCACAAAGTTCTAATGAGTCTCCTCGGGTCCCAACATGGGAAAGCCCTTCTCTAGATCCTACTATCCCTACTAAGAGGACACTTGGAGCAATTGCCCCTGCAGTGGTCACTCTCTCTGCAGCAGCCCCTTGCCCTCTTCTGCTGTTTTGAAAGAAGCACCAGCATCCCTTCTAATTAGGGCAGACAATGAGGGGAGCTGGCAAATGGGTGTGTTTTTGTTAGCTATGTTGCCAATATGAGGAACAGAGTTCTGAAAAAGACCCCTTGCCAGAATAACTAGTTAAAACAAGAATATGATTGCGCCTAGATTTCATCAGGATTTGATGAGGTGTGTCATTGAGCAAGGCTGGGGGTGGGGGTGGGACTTGTGTAAATCTATTCTACTCAAAGCAGTCAAGTTCATCGTGAGCACAGGTGATCCTCAGAAAGCTTTGTTTCAAGTGGTTGCCTGCTGGGCTGGTGCTTAAGAAAGTAATGTAGCCTGTTTGTTACTCTTTTTCTGTTCCCTTTTCTTCTTAAAATCACATTTTATTATCAACATTCCCTCAGGACACAGTGATATTATGCTCCCCATATCCTATTCCCTATGAAAAATTGCCCCTGAGAAAGGATCTGGAAACTCTTAAGATATAAATGACTGATAGTTAATATATTACCTCACCCAGACTGATACTCATTTTAAAGGGAATACAAAACCTTAAGTTGAAGGAAATTGGCATATAGTTGTAGATTTAAAAAAAAAAACAAACATCAAAGTGTGGTTGCCTCTCATGCACCCCCAACTGGGGACCTGGCCTGCAACCCAGGCATGTGCCCTGACTGGAAATTGACCCTGAGACTCCTTGGTTCACAGGCCAGCACTCAATCCACTGAGCCATACCAGCCAGAGCTGTATTTGCAGACTTTTTATCATTAGTGGTAAGAGGGACCATATGGAGTCAGTAGGAGACCCAGACTCTAATGAGGATGGGGGCTTGACTGGTATCTTAAATTTGTGAAGAGGCCTGGGTATGGTTCTCAGCTAGAGGACATTTGTTGCCCAGGGAACATTTGGCAATGTCTGGAGACCTTTTCAGTTGTTGTAAGGGTGGAAGGTGCCACTGGCATCCAGTGAGTAGAGACCAAGGAAGTTGCTAAACATCCTACGATATATAGGACAGCCCTTCACAATCAGAGATTAGCTGACCCAAAATACCTGTAATTCTGAGGTTGAAGAACCTTGTTGTAGAGTGACATATACAGTAAGTCCTCACTTAACATCATCGATAGGTTCTTGGAAACTGACTTCCAGTGCAATCAACTTTGCCCCAGACTAACTGACAGAAACAAGAGTTATGTTCCTAGAACAAATTTCTGGTCACAAACATGTCACCAAATATCAAAATGCTTCTAATATTAAATATTGAAATAAATATGAGGCATACATTTAAGAAGGGTGAATTAAAAACAAGTCAGATAATGAGTTTCCAACCCCTTATTCCTGTTTAGGGTCATAATGGACAGAGTCTCTCCTGGAAGCTCAAGACACCAGGCAGGACACTCTGGACAGGGCACCCTTCCTTGGCAGTGTGCGTTCACACCCACACTCACACTCATTCAGACTGAGACTGGGACAATGCATACACTTCAACTCACCTAACTGCACATGTCTGGGATGTGGGAGGAAACCAGAGTCCATGGAGAAAACCCATGCAGACATGGGGAGAACATGCCCACTCTACACAGACAGTGGCCCTGGGTGTACATCAATTTTTCTTTCTCAGCAATGTTATAATGAAACTGTGTTGAAAAAAAACAGTGCTATTTGAGGGAGGACTTGCCGTATTTTGTAGTGACACTGGCCACCATGTTGGAAAGACAGTAGGGAGAACTTCAGTGTGCCAGCTTTAGGGGACCACCTTCTCTGAAAAAAAAAGGGGGGGCTCCTGCTACTCAGCAGTGAAGAGAGTTACTGTCCTGCTGTCCAGTGTAGACAGATATTCTGATTTCCTTGGAAAATTAAAAAATCCATATTTTTACATGAAATTTCTACATTTTAAAATACCAGCAATGAACAAGGTTGAGAGAACCACACAAAAGGCTGCTGTGAGCTAGATTTGCCTTCTGGGTGGCTAGTTACAAGCTCTGGTGTGGACAGTGCTGACCCAGCAGTAAACTCATGGGTTGTATTGTAAATCCAGGGATGAAAGGTACCAGGCCAAGGTCCTGGACATTAGTCCTTCTGTCTACAAAGAGCACGACACTACTACTGAGGCAGGAGCCAAGGAGAGGTCTGTTTTAGCTGTTTGGGGGCAAAGTCTTGACACTCTAAAATTGCTCTTTAACTGTTTAATATACTTTTCCAGAATGATTTTATCTTTTCCTCTCATAAAATTCTCTTGGGCTCAGTATACACATTTTAGACTCTGGAGTTTTCTCTTACTAATTCAAATATCTACCAAACAGACTTATTGAAAAGATTAAATAAGATAATATATATAAGATTTCATAATGTAGAGATATCTGGCACTAAAAGAAATGTTAGTTGACCCTAAATACAAAGAAAATTCTTCACTTTTTGAATGGGAGTGTAGGTATTTTTTTTTTAACTGGATATAATTAGTGACCAGTTCCTGGGATAATGAGCTGAGTTCACTTGCTTGAATTTGGAGGGTAAACACATGTTCTTTGTGTCTGGGAGGTATGCTTGAGAGTTCCTTTGTCTCTCCCTGCTTTGGGGGAAAGCAAATTTGGCATGGCCTTTGAATGTCTGCCTCCTCCACACTTTTTTTTTTTAAGTATGGAAGCTTTGTAAATTTGCCTTGTTAAATACAAGCAGCATCTTCATACCTGCTGAAACCTAATTCTCATCCAAGGGCTATGTAATGAACAAAGAGGGTGGTAATAGCAACGGGCAGACAGAACAGCCCACGCAGGTATACTGCTGTGGCTGCACCAGGGAGGCAGCCGTTTGTAAGAACCCTTTTTACTTTGACTCTTTCACCTCCCCCAGCCCAGCCTGAGCCATGAGAAGAAGAGTGTTGTCAATGAGACAGGCCAATTTTACCCATCTTACACAATAGTGCATTGCAGACTTTCCGAGAAGACGCCATTCAGGGTGAATCACCAAATTCAGGATGAAAAGGTTTTGATTTGCAAAAGCGCTCAAGCATTTGTCTTTAGAGCTGGAGGTGGCAGGGAAGGAACGGAGGTGCATGCAGCTGCTTCACCTTTGGGCCAGGTGTGCTGGCAAGCTCGAGGCAGTGAGCAGGGTAATGCACCCGGCATTCACAGAGGCCTCTGTCACACCCTGGGTGCTGGGGCCCATGAATGCCTTATTTAAAGTAGAAGAGAAAGAGAAGGTGCTGGTGATGCTGAGGTACAGAAACGTGTGGAACTGAGTCAAAGCATGTATTGCAGGTCGATGGCAATTGAAATTAATGTTAAAATTTTCAGGTCCTCAGTTGAATTTTATTAACACAGGTAAGAGGTGATGAGAGTTGAGCATTATATAATTTTAATGTGGTTTCAACTACAAATAATAGGAAATCTATCTAAAATGACTTAAACCTTTCTTACTCAAAAGTTTTGGGTCAGAACCACCAGTATCACCATTACCTGGAAGCTTGCCAGAAGTGCAGACTCTGCAGCCCCAGCCCAGAACATCTGAATCAGTAGCTGCATTTTAACAAGATACACAAGTTATTTGTATACTCATTATTGTTTGAGAAGCGCAGTTTTAAACAAGGACTAAATCTCAGATAATAAGTAGACTAGAAGCAAGTGGTTCTAGGGTTGGTCAAGTCAGCAACTCAACAATGCAAAAAGGGCCTTGATTTTTTCCATTCCTGGGTGTTTTCCATTTTTCTGCTCTGCTATGCTAAGTATCCTTACTTTTATACTCAGATTTATCCTCCTGTGGTCACAAGATGGCTGCAGAAGCTCCAGGCATCACCTTGCCCAGCTGAGTGAAAGGGTTAAAAAAAAAGGAGCTTCCTCTCACCTATGGCTTTTCAACAGGAAAGAAAAGCTTTCCAGAAGCCACTTACATGATTTTCCCTCCTGTTAAATTCTCATATCTAATTGTCCAGAATTGCAATCACTTGCCTATTCCTAAACCAATTGCTGACAAGTGGATTAGAATAATGATAATTGGCCACTGACCATGCACACTTAACCTCTGGGTTCAGGTAAGGGCCTAGACTCCTTTGAAGGACATGACCAGTGAATATATGAACAAAATAGGTTTCTGTAACTTGGAAGAAATAAGAGAGGATAGGGGAGATAGCTGGTGGGAAAGGCAGCAGTGTGTGCTGCAAGAGTTGTTTTTTTTTTTGAGGCTATTCACGTATATCTTGGGATGTTAGTAATTTTCTCTTGAATATTTATTTGAGAGTTTTAAAAAGAACCCTCACTGAGGTTTTCCTCTATGACTGATCCAAGAGATATGTCCTAGTGACTTACATATATAGCCTGGTAATTCGTGCTACAGGAAATTCTAGTAATAGAATAGTGTAACTATATTGTAGAATTAGAGCAGAAGGGGCTTTTTAGATTATTTAGTGTATGGCCCTTACTCTATAGATGAACAAAGAGTCTAAATGATCTGTACACTGGTCAGTTAGTTATGCTGGAAGCGGGAGTACAGTTTACCTTTATGTGCTATCATTTTGGTGGAGATAGTTTATCATTGCAATTTGACATCTGGAATTTGAAGAAGTGGATCTTTTTACCTTGGGAACTTGAATGGAATGATTATGTAGAATGAATCATGTAGAGGACATTTTAAGACCATCTAAGAGAAATCATATTCAATTGAACAGGTCTTTGGATCCCAGATGCCACTAAACCATGAGACCCACAAGGACAGGGCTCTATCTGATGCGGTCTGGAGGTACTTGACAAGTGTTTGTGAACAACTGAAAAAGTGGTAAATGATGTAAGTACAGGTATGTCTGTATGTCTCTCTCTAAAAAGAACTGTCATGTGACTTACCTTTACTGGAAACATTCTAACTTGGTGCACATTAATTTTTTTTATTTATTGATTTTTAGAGAGAGAAAGAAGAAGGGAGAGAGAGAAACATTGATTTGTTGTTCCACTTATTTATGCGTTCACTGGTTGCTTCTTGTATGTGCCCTGAATAGGGATCGAACCTGCAACCTTGGAGTATCAGGAAGATGTTGTAACTCAGGAATCCCTAAACCCCTGGGGGCCACAGACCAGTATCAGTCCATGGCTAGCGAAGCTTCATCTGTATTGACAGTCAGCTGCTCCCCAACACTCATATTACCTCCTGAGCTCCACCTCCTATCAGATCAGCAGTGGCATCAGATTCTCATAGGACTGCAAACCCTACTGTGAACTGAGCATGTGAGGGATCTAGGTTGTGTGCTTCTTATGAGAATCTGATGCCTGATGACCTGAGGTGAAGCTGAGGTGGTGATGCTAGTGCTGGGGAGTGGCTGCAAATACAGATTATCATTAGCAGAGAGGTTGGACTGCACAGAGACTGTAATAAATCAATTGCTTCTAGACTCATATCAAAACCCTATCAGTGAGTGGTAAGGGACAATTTAGCTGCATCTAGTGTCCAGCTATAAAGCCATCCACCCCACTGTGCTACATGCCCCCCAACCCCCAGAGCAATATACATTGTTTTTATTGACTTTGAATGAGTGGGCTAGAACCAATAGATCCTAAGTTTGTATTTTCTCTTTCACACTCTTCTTTCTAATGGGGCAGAAGGAGAAAAGGCAAATACAACATTCGAATGCACAAATAAATGGATCATATTTAGGTCAAGGGACACAGTCTTCACGCTGTCTTTTGTGCTGCTGCTGACTGCATTGGGGATGTTTTATTAGTTTCTAGCACCATGTTTTAAGGAGAATATTGATTAAGTGTACAGTGATGGAAATGATGATATAAAAAAATTAGGGCTGGACTTTGTATTAAACACTTCAATGTTTTTTTTTTCATTAAATTATTACATAATCCCTGTGAGGCAGATGTCAAACATGTGAGAATGGAAGCTCAGAGAAATTAATTAATCTAAAGACAGCCACTAAAGAGTGGAGTTGGGATTTGAACTCAGGACCACGTGACTACAAAATCCACATCTTTAACACCACAATAGCTAATCTAGCTAAGCATTTATTATATGCGTGGCATTGTTCTAAGTGTATTATTTCATTAATCCTTACAAAAAATCTATGGGAAATTTTACAGGTAAGGACACCAATGCTTAGAGAGGTTGAGTAACCTATCTTATCCTCACAAGTATCCCTGTTAGCCTTGGCCATGAACCTGAGTCACTTCAAAGCTCCAGGGCTCACCACCATGCTATTGCATTCAGATGGTGGAACACAATATTATATCCTGTGCTGCTCAAGAGAACAGAATTTGGATTTAGAAGAAAAATTTTCTGAGACTTAGTCTTCAACAATAGACTTATCTGCATTAACTAGAAGGGAGCTGGTGAGAGATAATGAACATTGCAGACAAGGAGGTATTGTTGAATTTACTTCACGTAACCAGAGGTAGGGTTGGGTCCCTCTACAAGGGGTGTCCAACCCACGGCCCAGGATGGCTATAATGCAGCCCAAAACAAAATTGTAAATCTACTTAAAACTCTTTTTTGTTCATCAGTTTTCATTAGTGCTTGTCTATTTAATGTGTGGCCCAAGACAATTCTTCTTCTAGTGTGGCCCAGAGACGCCAAAAAATTGGACACCCCTGCTCTAAAGTATCTTTCAAGAATAGAGTTCTGTAAGGAGTCTAAAATTTCCTTTAGGAAATCATATTTTCAGTACTGGGTCACTCACTTGATTAGAAATACATATTTTGCAAAGGAAAGGGATAGGCAGAGAAAGGAAACTTTATAAAAGAAGCTTATTTTCATGCCCTTTGTTCTCTGACACTCCTATCCCACCTCTAACTGACAGACTCAGGCCCCTAATTGCAATTGACTGTAGACCACGTTCTTTTTCACACCAGGACAGGTCAGTTTCCCTAGTTTTCCTTTCAAATAAGAGTGGGGTCAGTGTTTAGCGATATTCACCACTTCTCCCAGACACCAACATTTGTAATCTGAATTCTTGTGTCTAAGAGAGCATAGAAGATTCATCAACGTGAAGCTTGGGTAACACTTCATTGCAGAAAGTAGCTGCTTAATTTCTGTGAAGTTAAAATTAGAGTCAATGGAAGCTCTGATCAGTTTTGAGAAATGTGTAGAAATTTAATGTTTACCCAGAGAAATATTTTCAAATGCCTAGGTCCAGTTTGGCTCCATTCTGGGGAAAAAGAGAATGATGCTTCAGCAACCAGAAACTTTACTCAGTGATGTAATCCTACTTTGAAACAGTAGGCTAGAGGTCCAAAGGCAAGCTTCTCAGGTTAATATGGAGCACTTTCTCTTTTCTCATGCTCACTCCTTATTTCCCCTTTTCCCCTCCTGCGCTTTCCTTCCTTCTGTTGTCTCTGTGTTCACTTGGAAAACCATTAGCTTCAAAATGCACCTGTAGCTATTAATTTTGCATGTGTCTGATTTACGGGTTCGTGAAGCTCCTGAAATTAATTTAATTTTAAATGGGTTTTAATTGCTAATGCTTTGGGCCATTGCCTTTAGCAAAGTCAACAAAACAATCAGGGTTACCTTAGTTTGTCTCTTTGAAGGATGCGTTCCTTTGGGCTCTTAATAAACAGAACAGCTTTCTAACTAGAAAAATAAATAAGTTAAATAGAATCACTGCTATATTTGAATGTCTGAATTTATTTCTCTTTCAAAAAAAGCCACCTTTGATTTAAGAAATGGAATTTCAAATGTATACAAAAGCATTTTTGTTTGTCAATAATATCTCATATTTTTCAAAGGTATAGAGGGCCTTAGTCGTAACACTATGCTACATAAATGCTGAAGCAGAGGAGAAATTATGACCAGACTGACTGGAGGGTTTGCATTCTGTTCTTAGCCCCGCAGAGTGCTTTGTATGTAACATTAGAGAAATGGAGTTACTTCTCAATACAGTTTCCTCTTGTAAAATGAGGGCAATCAACTCCCAGTTTTAAAAAATGAAGGAGTAATGAGATAATGTTCAAAATGACTTTTAAGTTTCTACCTGTAAAGGTTGAAGGTAAAAACAAAAAACAAAACAAAAAAAACACTGCAATATCTGTGAATATTCCCCTCCCAGGAGAGAAGGTTACTCATGTTGCGCCCAGTGGAGTGTTCTGTTCAGTCAGGGGCTATCACTTGAATGGTTTGGTAATGAGATAAGCTTATACTGACTGCAGATAAAAATGTGAAAGTTTGATCAAGTCATTTAGTCCCTTGACAATTTTGCAAACCAAGTGCTTTCTACAGAGATCGGTCTTAAACTGTGCAATACACAGACTAGCTGGATAAGCAAGGTTCTGAGTTCCACCTATTGCACTTTCTCCCAGAAAATATTGCAAGGTTTTGACTATTTTCTCTGACAATTAATATCAAATTTTCTTTACTAAATGTATGCAATTATTATTAGTGATTCCCAAGTGGTCTCTGATACCTCTTTTATTCCTCTTAGTTGAAAATGTGCTAAAATACACCCAGGTAATAGAAACACTTAGTGTTTCCAGCTGGTTAATTCATTAATCACTTAAATTCATTGTATAGTGTGGCAGATATAAGATTCTTTCTAAGCAGAATATTAAACCTGTAACTCAATGTCTAAGTACATTAATATAGAAGATAGAAAAGAAAAAGTTCAGAAAGAAAAAAGTAATTTTCTCCTTCTAGTTTCTCTGTAGAATTTACTTCCCACTCACATTTAAAGCAGCTCCCTATAATCCTGTTTAAATCCTGACCAGGGATTGAATCCACAACTGTTTTGGCTTATGGCACAATGGTCCAACCAACTTAGCCACCTGGCCAGGGCTAAATACAAGCAATTACTTATTCATAACAATAATATATTATGTTTGTCTAATGTTTTAGAGTTTCCAAAGAGCTTAAACCCACTCTTCTTCATAATATCTGCTTATTTTTCTCAAAAGGTTTGTTTTTAGAGATTTTATTTCTTTATTTTTAGAGAGAGGGGAAAGGAAGGAGAAAGAGAGGGAGAGAAACATCTGTGTATGGTTGTCTCCTACATGCCCCACACTGGGGACCAAGCTTGCAACCCAGGCACATGCTCTGATTGGGAATCGAACCAGTGACCCATCAGTTTGGAGGCCGGCACTCAATCCACTGAGCCCACTAGCTAGGGCAAAATGTTTTAAAAATAATCAATGTAATTATCGAATCTTCATAATAGAAGTCCTCTTTTCTTTATTAGGTACTTGTTGGGTTCATCTGTTTGAAATTTACAAAGTAGATGGCAGCTCAGAACAGCCTGAAGCTCAGATTCCAGGGTTGTGCACAGATACTCCCGTGGTCGGCACATGTGCATGCGCACACGTGAAGAGCCTGGATAGAAGGGGAATGAACTAGCAGGAGGAAAACAACTGAAGAAGAAAACAGCTGTGCAACAGTGGGGAAGGCAAGTGACATCTCTTTCAGTTTTATGATTGCTTCCAAAAGTTGTGTTTTTCTTTGTTACATACAATTTAAGTTCCATGTGATTCTTAGAACTTTGGAATAAATTTTGGAATAAAATCTCTTGTTCTGATTAATCTTAAATATAGATCACTCTTTGAAAAAAATAAAGATGAAAACTTGTTTTCTCAAGTAAACAGGAATAGTGGAATTGACCACGGGGAACCTCAAAAAGGAGGCCAGGGAAAGGGGGATTTGAGAGGTGAAATAAAGGTGTTTGATGGGGACACAGACATCACAATGTTTAGACAGTGCTTGTGATTACAAAAGTCACAGAACTTTAGCAACAAAGGGGACCTCAGTTTATTTGTAATTTCTTTGTCCACACATCTTGGACAATGAAATGCACATAACACGACCTCCACTGAAAATTTCTTTACAATTATGTTATCATTATTGTTGTACCCTTGGTCTCTTCATTTCAGCCATACGGGCTTTTTTCACTTCCCCAAATGTTCAATGTTCCTTCCTTCCTCAAGACCTTTACAAATGTTATACATTGCTGAAACATTCACTAGCAACAGCTTTGACCTAGAATATGTTTGGTCTGCCAGAACTGTCCATGATACAGCTTGTTCTACAGAGGTGGAGTATGACACACAGAAGCCTATCAGAGTCCCTCAGGTGGGCCACTGTGACATGCTGTCAAGGAGAATGCAGAGCAAGGGGAGGGCATACCATTGAGGAAGGAACCTTGGCAGTAGTTAAGTAGCCAGAGAAGGCATCAAAGGAGACAGAAGTGAAATAGGGAAATAGGAATATCAGCATAGGAATATCAGCAAAGGGAAATAGGAATATCAGCTTAGGATAATATTTTACAAGGCAAAAGTTTACAAGTTTTAAAGTAAACAGGTACTACGAGTATTGGACACTGTGCTAAGCACAGTGCTGGTGAGTAGAAAGTACTTCACAGGTGCCCCCCCATTTATTCATTAATTCCTTTATTCACTCATATATTCTTTCATTCAATCATTCATTCTACAAATATGCATGTGTAGTTAAGTGCCAAGTAGTAATCACATATAAGTAAACAAACAAACACTATCCTTGTGCTGTCACAAAGCTTATATTTTTGGGGATGAGGGAGTGGGGTGAAGAGATAAAATCATCATTCAGGATATCAGAAATCTAGCTGAACAGAAGTGCTATAAGGATACAAAGAAGAAACCACATAGAGACTGGTGGGAAAGGTAAGGACATAGAAGGGCTAGTCCCACATCCATGTGTAGTTGTTTAAAATTGGGAGGTGTTGGGAACCGCCCTGACTGGTATCAGAAGCTGAAACCCCCACCTAGGCTAAGGCTAAGGGAACGCCCTTGGAACCGTAAGCCAGCAAGGAGACAAAAGCTTATCTCCCTGGCAGGAATGCTGCTTCTGCTGCTTCATTCATAACTGAACCCCAAAGCTTGGTTGGTTAGCCAAAGACGGGTAAGATTCCCCAAGGGGGGAATGACCTACGACAGGCACGATCACTTTGGGAGGCCCCCTGAAAGAAGGACTTGGGGGGCTGCAGCAAAAGGGGGTGATGGACCCTCGCTCTTCGGCTTTGACATAGCCTGAGTTCTCATCGTCTGGGAGAAAATCTCCTTATCTCTTGGTTGCCTTAGTTTCCTTGCTGCACCTAAGCCTGAAACAATGACAGGGTGGTGCAGCACTGTGCTGAAAAGGGCGGATTCCCTGGGTGATCAGGCCTAAGAAAGAATATGTAAATTACTATGAAACCTTCTTTGTTTAGAATGCTCTCAGTTGAATGAGAGGGGTCCAAGGAGGAAGTTAGTTTGTTCCTCAAAGTCTTACAGCTCTTTGACCCCGACTCAATAGACTGGCAGAGTTCTTTGTTTTCTATGGTTCCTTACTTCCCCCTAATGAGTACTGTACTTTACCTGAATTATTATGCAAAATGAGCCCAATAAAAGCAGGTATGGACTGTAGATCGGAGCGCTCCCCACTGGGGGGGTGGCCATTCTGTCCCTACTTCCCCACAGAAACTAGTTTGTCTCTGTGCATGTTTTTTCTCGCATGTTTATTGTCGAGCCATCCACAGCGTTCCGTGGTCACTGCTGGCTGGTGACCCACGCATCAGGGAGGGATATCTTAGCTGTGGAATTTCCTCCTAAGAAGTGAGAAGTCCCAGTCCCATTTGAGAACTCCCAGCCCAGGGTGCTAGTGCTGGGAAAAGAAATCCACAGAAGTCTTAATTTCTGCCTGTGAAAACCCGTGGTGGTTGTGGCTGAGTGAGACAAAGTACTAATGAAATCCCAGGCATTCCTTTCAAAGGGCCCATACCTGGACTTAATGGGATTCACTTGCTCTGAGTTCCAGTGCTGGGATGCAGCTCAAAAGGCTCCAGAAACACAAGGGGAAAAACTGAACTGTCTGGCCTCAGGGTGAAGGATGGAGAGACAGCTTTTTCCCAGACAGAAGTGCTAGCAGAAGCCATTGTTGAGGCCATCCTTTGCTGAGCCTTCCCCCAACAGAGCCACAGAGTACCAGGCGAGTGCCATATCTGAGTCTCCATCAACCTGGCTATCATTGTTCACCCTGTCCTGGTGATTCCCTGAGACTCTACCCAACCCAATTTGCAGGCCCACCCAAGTTGTTTCCAGTGGCTTGTCCATATAAACAACCTGTCTTGGCTCATGCTTCAGACTTTCCTAAGACATCTTAAACAAGCAGCATTTGGCTTCTGCATGCCCTGTACCTCTTGCTAAGTGGCCCCAGGCCTGGCATTAATGGCAGCTGGCCTTGGTTTGTACCTTGGCCTCTCCTAGCTACATCCAAGCCCAGCAGAAGTAGCAGCCATCTATAAATCACTCTGTAGCTCATGCTAGGTGGCCCCAGTCAGGGTACAGGTGGTGACTGACCTTGCTTGGAGAGGCCCCAGAGACAGTGCACTTTGTGGACATCTTCAGACCAGGCCAGATTAAGAACCAACCACCTCCACAAGTGACACACTCAAGAGGCCAACTTGAATGGCACCAAAGCCTCACTGAAACAAGTTCTGCTCCATGGGATTGACCTATGCACAACAGCTCCTCCACTATATTTGTAGCCAGCCATTGAAGCCAATCAGCCTGGGAGTCAATCCTTCCCAGTGACGTGCCAAAAGCAATCAAGGCTCAACTACCATGGGACAGTGCACACTGCCCACACATGGAGTGCACCTAAAATGTCCAGCTCAGGTGGCTGGGGAGATTGTGCCACTGGGCCCGACAGGACACCTACTACACAAGGCCACTTTACCAAGTGAGGCGATGTATTAGCTCTACCTAATATGTAGAAACAAAGACAGGGAAGAAGCCAAAATGAGGAGACAAAAAAAATGTCCTAAATGAAAGAACAGAACAAAACTCCAGAAAAAGAACGAAATAAAAGAGAGACAAAAAAACTACCAGATACAAAGTTCAAAACAATGGTTATAAGGATGCTCAAGGAACTTAGTGAGAACTTCAACAGCATAAAAAAGGACATAGAAATCATAGGAAAGAACCAGTCAGAAATGAAAGTTACACAAACTAAAATGAAGAATAAATTACAAGAAAACAAAGTAGAGTAGATGAAGCAGAAAATCAAATCAGATTTAGAATATAAGGAAGCAAAAACACCCAATCAGAACAGCAAAAAGAAAAAGAATCCAAATATATGAGGGTAGTGTAAGAACCTCTAAGACAACTGCAAGCATACCAACATTTGCATCACGGGAATGCCAGAAAAAGAAAAGAGAAAACAAGAAATTAAAAGCCTATTTGAAAAAATAATGACAAAACACTTCCCTAATCTGGTGAAAGAAATTGGCATGCAAGTTCAGGAAGCACAGAATGTTGCATACAAGACGAACTCACACCAAGAGTTTCACACCAATACACATCCTAATTAAAATGCAAAAATTTAAAGACAAAGAGAGAATCTTAAAAGTGATAAGCGCAAAGAATTTAGTTACTTACAAAGGAGCTCCCATGAGACTGTCAGCTGATTTCTCAACAGAAGTTTTACAGGCCAGAAGGGATTAGCAGGAAATATTCAGTGATGAAAAGCAAGGACCTACAACCAAGATTCCTCTACCCAGCAAAGCTATCATTTAGAATGGAAGGACAAAGAGCTTCCCAGACGAGAAAAAGCTGAAAGAGTTTATCACCATGAAACCTATATTACAAGAAATGTTAAGGGGTCTTTCTTAAGAAGAAGAAAAGGAAAAGATAAAAAATATGAATAAAAAATAACAATAAATACATACATATCTATCAACAATTACTTTAAATGCAAATAGGTTAAATGTTCAAAAGACACAGTGACTGAATGGTTAAGAAAACAAGTCCCTTATGTATGCTGTCTACAAGAGACACACTTCAGCTTGAAAGACACACACAGACTGAAAGTAAAGGCAAGGAAAAAGATATTTCATAAAAATGGAAACAAAACAAAACAAAAAAGCTCAGGTTGCAAAACTTACACCAGACAAAATAGACTTTAAAACAAAGTCTATAAGAAGAGGCAAAGAGCGACCCTGCAATTCCATTCCTGGGTGTACATGCAAAGAAACCCAGGACAGTAAACTGAAAAGACATATACATCCATATGATGTGTTTATTGCAGTATTATTTATAGTAGCCAAGATCTGGAAGCAATCTGAGTGTCCATCAACAGAAGAATAGATACAGAAATGGTACAATCAAATATGAATCGCCATAAAAAAGAATGATAACTTGTCATCTGTGGCAAAAGGGATAAACCTAAAGGGTATTGTGTTAGGTGAAATAAATCAGAGATAAACACCAGATGATTTTGCTTCTAGATGATTCTAGAAATTTGTTTTGTGATCTATTTAGAAAACAAAATAGATAAACAAGCAGACTCACACATGCAGGGACCATTTTGACAGTTGTCAGATGGGAGATAGGTTGGGGGAATGGGGGAAAGTGGTGAAGGGATTTAGGAGTGCAAATTGGTGGTTGCACAATGGTCATGGGGACATAGGGTGCAGCATAGGAAATACACTCAATAATATTGTAATGAGTATGTATGGTGTCAGATGGGTGCTGGATTTATCTGAATGATTACTT